ATTGGATTTTTGTGTTGATTGGATTTTCTGTGTTGATTGGATTTTCTGTTGTTGATTGGATTTTTCTGTGGTGATTGGATTTCTGTGTTGAATTGGAATTTCTGTGTTGATTGGATTTTCTGTGTTGATTTGATTCTGTGTTGATAGGAGAAAAAAAAGTTTTCTGTGTTGATTGGATTTTCTGTGTTGATTGGATTTTCTGTGTTTGATTTGGATTTTTCCTGTGTTGATTGGATTTTCTGTGTTGATTGGATTTTCCTGTGTTGATTGGATTTTCTTGTTGCTTGGATTTCTTCTGTTTGATTGGATTTTCCTGTGTTGATTGGATTTTGTGTGATTGGATTTCTGTGTTGATTGGATTTTCTGTGTTGTTTCTGAGTTGTGGATTTTTGAGTTGATTGGATTGGTGATTGTTGAGTTGATTGGATTTCTCGAGTTGAGTGATTTGATCTGAGTTGATTGGATTTTCTGAGTGTGCATTGGATTTCTGAGTTGATTGGAAATTTTTCGAGTTGAATTTCTGATTGATGATTTTCTGAATTGATTGGATTTTCTGAATTGATTGGGATTTTCTGAATTGATTGGATTTTCTGATTGATTGGATTTTCTGAATGTGATTGGATTTTTGAAAGTGATTGGATTCTGAAGTGATTGGATTTCTGAAGTGATTGATTCTTCTGAGTGATTGATTCTTTGAAGTGATTGGATTTTCTGAAGTGATGGATTTTCCTGAAGTGATTTGGATTTTCTGAAGTGATTGGTTTGAAAGTGTTGATTTCTGAAGTGATTGGATTTTCTGAAGGAATTGATTTTCTGAAGTGAAGATTGCGATATTTCCTGAAGTGTTGGATTTTGAGTGTTGGATTTTCTGAAGTGATGGATTTTCTGAAGTGATTGGATTTTCTCGAATGAGTTGATTTTCTGAGTTGATTGCTTTTGATTGATGGTTCTGAATTGATTGATTTTCTGAATTGATTCGGATTTTCTAACAATGATTTTCGATTGAATGATTTTCTCGAATTGATTGGATTTTCTGAATTGGATTGGGATTTTCTGAATTGATTGGATTTTCTGAATTGATTGGATTTTCCTGAATTGATTGGCTGATTTTGGATTTTCAATGTATTCTGAATTGATTTGGTTTTCTGAATTGATTGGATTGGATTATATTTCGAATCGATTTTGATTATGATTGTTGATTGTATGTTTCCTGGCGCGTCAACCGCTGTGGCTCATACGTCCTTTACATAGTGAATGTTTCAATCGCGGGAGAGTGAGCGGTGTTCCTCTCTCGCTGGATGTTGTGGTCTGACGCGGACCTTCACGTCCGTATCGGGGATTTCCCTCTCCAGGAATACCCCGTCAGGCCACCGCCCCAGCCAGTATTACGCTCTAAGCTCCCTGAATGGTGTATTACGAATTGTGTTTGCGTAGAATTATCCCTGGTGTATTACGACAACAAACAATAAATTGCATCTCGTAGCTTACGTCAGTGGCGATCCCGTGACAAATACAGGTTACTGATGCGGGTATTGCGTGTTTGTTACTGACGTGGTACTGTTCATCTCGAGTGAAAACTGTGCACATTGTGAATGCATTATTTTGAAAAGAGAAATAGCTTCATACTGGGAAACAAAATTTCGAAACGGCTAGCCTTTGAAATCTGTGTTACATCATATAGGATCACGTACTGTGTGTAAGCGTTTTGATATTGCTAAGCTTTTTGAACAAAACGCAAAATTCTTTTGCTTTATTAAAATTGCCAGGGACAGACATCATTTGAATTCTGGTCCAAAGGTTCAGATATTCCTGGCACGTTTCCTTATCACCGTGCTAAATAGCTTATACTTACACACGCTCGAGGTAGCGACGGCGGACGTCTATGTGATGATCGCGATGCCCCACATGCAGAACGGAGTTCCAGGAAGCGGGGTGGCAGGGCGACGGAGGTTGCGGCTCAGCCCGGCCCGGCGGCGAGAGGAAGTGTTGCGCACGAGCAAAGGAAAGTCGCCGCCGCCAGCACCGCGCGGGGGCGTGTGTGCTAGCGAGGGGCGACGGGCGTTGCGTCAGCCGACGCGCCCGGCCGCCCACCGCCCCACCCGCTCGCTCGGCCCAGCCTCTCCACCCACGCGCGCGGTGTTTTTGTGGTTGCATCCTGTTGGACGATTCGCTGTTTTGAGAGGATGACTCAAACATCGATATCACGAAAATAAGGGACTTTGTTCATCTTCGAACGTTAAAGCACTATCGCTCTTCTGCGCACACGCAATTCGACTTTTGTTCAACTTTAGTGCATCTGCGCAGGCACACAAAATCGATGATGTGGTCCGCTATGACGTGCACAAACACTCTCTTAATACGAATAGCGATGTTTCGAATTCGTTGGCATTTCGAATCTTACTTATTCCTCCTCAACGTCCCTGTACATGCGGTGTAACAAAAGTTGACGAGACAAAATATTCGATCGTAAACGTCGATATCTCGAACATCGAGGAACGGCGATTTGAATACCGAGGTGTCAAATGTATTAACATCTCGAATTTCAGGCAAACGCATTCAGCATCTTTGTACACGTGTGCTTCGGTATAACAGAAGCTAGCAAGTGAAAATATTCGACCGATTTATTTATGGTACGCCCCCGTGCGCGGCGTTTTAGTGGTTGTATCCTGTAGTGTGTTGGACGATTCGGTGTTCTGAAAGACTTACTCAAACTTCGATGTGTCGTGTATCGAGATACGGCGCTCTAAATGACAAGGTGTCGAATTCATTGACATCACGAATTTAAGTCACCCATCATCAGCATCCCCGTACACGTGTGGTTCGCTATAACAAAAGTTGACAAGTCAAAATATTCGATCGTTTTATTTTATTTTTTAAATTTATTTTATTTTGTTTTGTTTTGGTCTTCATTTAGATTCGATTTGTCGAGGTAGCATACCCATCTTTTTCTGTGATTGAAAGCATCGGCGTTTAATATATTGCTGCTTCTAGACCCCCCTACACTTAATGTTGCTCTCAAGTACCTGGCCATTTGAGTCATTTGTCCACTCCCGGTGTGGGCTGCGATACTAGGAATTTCCATCAGAATTTCTCAATATTATCTACTGAGTCCTTTAAAGACTAAGTGGTGTAATTCGCATTTTTGATTTTCCCATATTTTAATGTTTTGTTAGGGTTATAAAAAATTAGCAGTATGTTGTTTTATTTTTATTTTCATGCGCGTGTCTCATTTATTGACGGTACTTATTAATTTTGTCAAGTTACAGACTTAGTATAAGGATCTAAATGGATTTACACGTGTGCATCATGAAATAGTAAAGGATATGAAAAAAATTAAGTGGAGACAACGACGCTATTTTCATAATATTTGTTACTCATCATCAAAATTATGTAATTTCCATTCAGTGACCCCATATCTTTAACATCTTCTGATGTAAGAAGACACTTCAAGTAGTGAAAGTAATTAAAAGGGATAAAAAAATATCTTCCGCGCCTTTTTTCACTCTTTTGGTTATCTTTCTCCGAATTATGGAAGCAAGAGCAACTGGTCCCTTTTTACATCCGAGGACAACTTGCGAAATGGAATGAACTCAGAAAGTGTTTCTTTAAAACGAATTGGTGAAATGGTACCAGTGAGTATGGAATATCGTTCATCCTTTGGAACCAATTGAATATCCACAGCGGAGTGACAAATCAAAACAATTATAGGTAAAATGGTGCCCCCCTTTGCCTGTCATCAGACGAATGGCCCCGCTGACAGCGCAAACTTGTATTACTAACTGCACTGTTGCTAAGTAACACAACTACACCCGTTGTGATGCTAATAGAATGCCATTTGTTGAAAACGATTATCAACCTGATTTAAAAGATACGAAAAATGAAGTTACACCACTTGACCACCCCTTACACGTGGCCACGGTCTGAATTATCCATGAGGTGCTTGTGGGTCATGAGTGTATCAGGACCGAGAGAACATAGAACCTGATGGGGCAAATGATCAGAAGAATAAAATTATCATTGAAACAAGATACTTTTACGTTGTAGAATTATGACTGATTTCCCTTCGTTAACGCACCTCCCCGGGAATGGAAACTGAGGTGCACACAAAATATTGATCTTGCAATTATGAAACTTATGAGATATTGTCACTATGAACTTAACATATGTGTAAATTAATTAGTATTTATTTAGACATAATATTTTATTTATCGTTGAAATTGAATCGTAACGAATGGGGGCTGATTTTTGCGTTAAAGAAACGAAAAATGAAAAAAGAGTATTAAATAATTGCCATTCTTAGCCTACCATAACTCTACATCAACATATAAGACAACAAAAACAACATTACCTGCTTTGGAACAGTTTTATGTCCTTGTGATGTGTGTTCATTGAAAAAATAGTTACTTACGATATAATTGCACGAAGAGGTGATTATAGAACTAATAAAAGATTGTATTTTATGTGAATAAATTCCCAATGGTCTACTGAGTAGACTGTGCTCAGTACATTCACCATCACGGCGGAAGCGTACATGTATCATCACGATTTCTCAGCACAAATCTACCCTTAAGCTCAATGGATGTATCGCGCACTTGTCTTTTCGAAGTTCCTACTTACATTTACTTTCGACGTTCCTACGTACATCACTTGCAGGACATGAAGGATAGGGTGAGTTTGAAAGGTGACACCCTCTGGTTTGAAGAGTCCACCATGCCACAAACACAATAGGTAAAACGTCCATGTCCGAAGTTGAATTCGAAACCTACGACCATTCGCTCCAAGACTAGAGTCTCGCCGAGGGATCACGGCAATCTAGGCCGAGCTGTTTCTTGTTTTTTGTAAACCCTCTGCTCCCTCGTTTGTGCCAGGTGAGGAGATTTGCCGAGCTGTTCCATGTTTTCTGTAAATACTCTCCTCCTTCGGTGTGTGCCAGGGAGGCAGATTGGCCGCCTCGTTTTGTTTTTTTCTGTTGTGAACCCTTCGCTGCTTGTGTGTGGCAGGCGGGCGTCCAACGCTGCAGCTGGTGGGCGTGACGCTGGACAGCAGCAGTTCGGACGACGCGAGCGTGGACAGCGGGCACGGCGCCAGCGCCAGCGGCGGGTCGGCGGGGGCGGCGGGCGCGCAGGGGCCCAAGGGCTCGCCCGCCTCGTCGTCCTCGTCGTCGCCCGCGCGCCGCCTCGTCGTGCGCGGCGTCGGTGGCGTCGGTGGCGTCGCAGGGCGCGCCGGCGCCCGCCGCGCTGCGCAGCCACCGCAAAGGAGCTGTCCATGGACTCGGGCATCCAGGGCTCGTCGTGCGACCTGGCAGCGGCGCCGCGGCGCCGGCAGCCGCCCCCCCGCGCAGCGACGACGGCGCGGACGCCGCGGCGGCCTCGCGGCCGCGCCGCCGCCGCCGCCCTCGCCGCCTCGCGGCGCAGGTACGACAGCCGCGACTCGGATCCTTTCTCGCTACGCTTACGCAGTAGAGGAAAGTTGTGTTAAGCTGCGTGAAAAAAACGGCAGGAAAACTCGTATTACAGGGCCCTGGTAACGAAAAAGTGGGTAAAGTCTAGTTGCTAATTTAGGGGGGGAATCTTCTCACAGGTGGTTGTGCCAGAATCCATGTTTTAGGGTCTTTGATACCGAAAAATTGAAAACGCCAAAATGTCTTTCTGTGAGCAACGCTAGCGGCTAAAACCAATCAGCCGATTTTCTCCAAAACCTATAATCTCCAATCGATCTGGCATGGTTCGCGGCTTCTAGAATTTAAAACCGATATTTTAATTTTGGGGTCCGCTTACATGAAGCCCCAGGGAACATTTCCAAATTCGGAAAAAGTAGCTTCGATTTGAATGGCTTTGCGCCGCGATCGCCGCCAGCGCGTGAATAAACGGCGAATTTTCGGCAGAAAAATAGGATTACAGGGCCCTGGTAACGAAAAAAGATAAATTCATTTGCCAAATGTATAACAAAACTCCTCTAACACATGGTATAGCCAGAATTTATATTGTGCAGGTCTCAGGCATTTTTTGAAATTTCGAACGTTTATATTTTTCCTCCACAACTAAAATATTAAATATGGAGATTTTCCTCTTAATGAAATCTGTTTCTTAAAGATTGATTTTCAAATAGGTCATGTACGATTTTCCGAACATTTGAGTACTTTTTTGCGTACTTTGTACGGGCGAGAAAGTAACGTACGTATTAGCACCACTTGTTTTAATCGGAGCAGTTAAAGTGGGCTGTTCACTTGTCTTGCCCTGGCCAACCACCTATCTGCGGGAGCTCCTTGGCCGTGTGTTGTCGAATTAGACCCTCGAACGGACGGGGTAGAAGGATGGGCAACGCGCTCGACCACGATCGGCTCTAGTCTAACTGAACGACGAGTGACACGTGCTCAACTTCAACGGTCACTGCAGCAGTGTGTCCTGATAGTTACATTTGAACAGCCTGGTGTAAAACAACGTGGGTCTTGCGTTTTATGAATAATTTTTAATTAAGAAATTTAATTAAGAAAAGGGATAAGAAATGTGATTTAGGTTTTGCTGTAAATGAATACATGTACGAAGTCATTCTTGGCGTATATGCTTCATAGTTAACTCCTTTCAGATTACTGCCGAACTAAAATCCTGTAATGGGTGCTTTTGGCTTACATGTTAATTGTTTTCCAAGAAGTTTTGTTATATTAGAGACACAAACGGTATTTGGAAGTATTGCACATACATTGTTTACCAGAATTGTGCTCTAATTCATGAAATAGTAAAGGAATCTTGCTTTAAATTTGTGTCAATATTTTTCACACTGAAATATTATTAATATTTTAGTATTATATTATATAATCTCGGTTCTATTGCAACGCAGTTTATTTAATTTTGCAATTATTTTCTTATTTAAATAAATTAATAATGATCTTGCACACTGTGAAATTTTGAATGTGACAATGTTACAGTCCTCAATATTTTTGAACATTTCTTATTTACACTTAATTACTATCCAACATAAGTATAAACAAAATAAAATTATAATATTCGAAGTATTATAACATATACTCAAGTTGCAAAATGTTTCACTAACAAATTCCACTACACCACTGCATGGCCTTGCTCCTCCCCCAGCCCCCGTGCTCGCGTTCACGCCCACCCTGGACCCCGACGCCCTCCTGCACGGCGAGACTTCAACCTGGTGGAGGAGGTGTACGTGGTGGGCAACCGCTGGCGGGGCGGGACAGCCTGAAGGCGGTGCCCCCTAGCCCCCGCCCCGCCCCCGCCGGCGGACGCGCGTCGCCGCCAATCGCCCCCGCCTGCCCCCGCCCCGCGGCCGCCAGCAGGTCCCGGCGCCCGGCCGGCCCGCGACGCCTGCCCCGCCCGCTCGCGCCACGTCGTCGTCGTCGCCATCGACTTCGGCACCACCTACAGCGGCTACGCCTTCTGCTTCACGCGCGACCCCGAGCTCAACATCCACATGATGCGCAAGTGGAAGGTGGTGGGAACAGCGAAGCACCCGAGCTGATTGGCTTGATTGATTGATTGGAAAGATTGGAGTGATTGTATTTATTGAATTAATTTAATTTATTGAATTGATTCGATTTTTGTTTTGAATGGGATTCGATTGTCTGAATTGATTGGATTGTCTGAATTGATTGGATTGTTGAATTGATTGGATTGTTGAATTGATTGGATTGTTTGAATTGATTGGATTGTTTGAATTGATTGGATTGTTTGAATTGATTGGATTGTTTGAATGAATTGGATTGTTTGAATTGATTGGAATTGTTTGAAATTGATTGGATTGTTTTTGAATGATTGGATTTTTGAATATGATTGTTTGAATTGAATTGATGTTTGAATTGATTGTATTGTTTGAATTGATTGGATTGTTTGAATTGATTGTGGATTGTTGTGTGAATTGATTGGATTGTTTGAAATTGATGGATTGTTTGAATTGATTTGATTGTTTGAATTGATTGGATTGTTTTGAATTGATGTTTTGTTGAATTGATTGGATTGTTGAATTGAATTGGATTGTTTGAATTGATTGGATTTTCTGTATTGATTGGATTTTGTGTTGATTGGATTTCTGTGTTGATTGGATTTTCTGTGTTGATTGGATTTCTGTGTTGATTGGATTTTCTGTGTTGATTGGATTTTCTGTGTTGATTGGATTTTCTGTGTTGATTGGATTTTCTGTGTTGATTGGATTTTCTGTGTTGATTGGTTTCTGTGTGATTGGATTTCTGTGTTGAATTGATTTCTGTGTTGATTGGATTTTCTGTGTTGATTTGGATTTCTGTGTTGATTGGAGGGGAGGATTTTCTGTGTTGATTGGATTTTCTGTGTTGATTGGATTTTCTGTGTTGATTGGATTTTTCTGCTGTTGATTGGATTTTCTGTGTTGATTGGATTTTCTGTGTTGATTGGATTTTCTTGTTGATTGGATTTCTGTTGTTTGATTGGATTTCCTGTGTTGATGTGGATTTTCTGTGTTGATTGGATTTTCTGTGGTTGCGATTGAGATTTTTGAGTGATTGGATTGTTTCTGAGTTGATTGGATTTTCTGAGTTGATTTGATTTCTGAGTTGATTGGATTTTCTGAGTTGATTGGATTTCTGAGTTGATTGGAATTTTTCTGAGTTGATGGATTTCGAGTTGATGGATTTTCTGAATTGATTGTGATTTTCTGAATTGATTGGGATTTTCTGAATTGATTGGATTTTCTGATTGATTGGATTTTCTGAATTGATTGGATTTTCTGAAGTGATTGGATTTTCTGAAGTGATTGGATTTTCTGAAGTGATTGATTTCTGAGTGATTGATTCTGAAGTGATTGGATTTTCTGAAGTGATGGATTTCTGAAGTGATTGGATTTTCTGAAGTGATTGGGATTTCTGAAGTGATTGGATTTTCTGAAGGATTGATTTTCTGAAGTGATTGGATTTTCTGAAGTGATTGGATTTTCTGAAGTGATTGGATTTCTGAAGTGATTGGATTTTCTGAAGTGATTGGATTTTCTGAATGATTGATTTTCTGAGTGATTGGATTTGTCTGATTGATTGGATTTTCTGAATTGATTGGATTTTCCTGATTGATTGGATTTTCTGAATTGATTGGATTTTCTGAATTGGATTGGGATTTTCTAAATTGATTGGGATTTTCTGAATTGATTGGAGATTTTCTGAATTGATTGGTTTCTGATTGATTGGATTTTCGAATTGATTGGATTTCTGAATTGATTTGGATTTTTCTGAACTTGATTGGATTTTCTGGAATTGATTGGATTTTCTGAATTCGATTGGATTGGATTAATGATTGATTGATTGTTGATGTTTCCTGGCGCGTCAACCGCTGTGGTCATAAGTCCTTTACACTAGTGAATGTTTCATCGCGGGAGGTGACGGTGTTCCTCTCTCGCTGGATGTTGTGGTCTGACGCCGACCTACACGTCCGTTTCCGGGGATTTCCCTCTCCAGGAATCACCCCCGCCAGGCACCGCCCCCGCCAGTATTACCTCTAAGCTCCCGAATGGTGTACTAACATCTGTGTTTGCGTAGATAATCCCTGATGTATTACGACAACAAACAATATAAATTGCATTCGTAGCTTAGTGCAGTGGCGATCCCGTGACAAATCCAGGTTACTGATGCGGGTATTGCTGTGTTCTGTTACTGACGTTTACTAGTTCATCTCGTGTGAAAACTTTGCACATTGTGAATCATTATTTTGAAAGAGAAAATAGCTTCATACTGGAAACAAATTTCGAACGGCTAGCCTTTGAAATCTGTGTTACATCATATAGGATCAGTACTGTGTGTAAGCGTTTTGATATTGCTAAGCGTTTTTGAACAAACCAAAATTCTTATTGCTTATTAAAATTGCAGGGAACAGACATTCATTTGAATTTGTCCAAAGGTTCAGATATTCTGCACGTTTCTTATCACCGTGCTAAATAGCTTAACTTAACAGCATGTAATAGAAGGTACAAATAAGATTTCATTTTGTAAAATACGATTTCAGAAAAATAACTCCCCTTTTTTCGTTCATTTTCTCATTGGACATTTTCATTTTCGTGTATTAGATAACTTGCGTCTAAAATAAGAAGAAACGCTTTACAATATCGTTAAAAACTGGAAAAATATGTTAAATAAAACAGTATAATTTGATTAATGTGTTAAGGATTTAGTATTGCGAATTCTTCCTGGCGTTATGAAACAAAGATCAGATTTTATCGTATTAAAAGAATTTAAAAATTCCATTTCTAAGATGCGATCATGGACCTTCGGGTTTCTTGTTAAGATATTTAAGTGGTATTATTTTCTTGAAACTATGTGTTCTTGATATTTCGACAGTATCTCACCTTGTAAACATAATGCTTTCCTAACAATACTGATGACGTTTTCCCGTTGTGAACATTATTAATATAAACGCATGTCAGCATATACAGTATGACGTTTCCAATTTACGATAAAAGGTTTATGAATTTAAAAGAAAATTGATGTTTTTCTTCCCAAGCGTCATCAGAACTTAACACCCATTTCAGGCAGTAATCAGGGTGAGCACACAAATCGATTTTTTTCCTTTGTCAGGAGGATAGAAACTATATAATGTAAATATAATTTTGTAAATTGATTTACCATTCCAATCCACAACACATCCATTTTTAATTATCGTTCATATTTCGTACCATCAAATGATGCAAGTATGTGCCAGGGTATTCAACTCTAGACTAAGCTTGTTTGAGATTTTTTTGTTATCAATCGACTCCTACCAGAGGCGTGATGGATTGGACGTGATTTTTTATTATAGGAACATTACGTTTTAGAAGTATATGAGCCCATAGGAAACTTCATGGCCTCGTAAAGGTGCTTAGACTATAGTTTTTGGACGTTTCTAATAGTCGACTATATCCTTGGCACAAAGTTGTACCATTTTTCTGTTCTATAGTATACTCGTAATAAACTGGAACGGAATGAAGGCACAAGCCTTTTTTCTCAAAGCACAGGAAAGAAGATGACTCCTCTAGTTTCAAATTCGTGTACGCTGGTGTCCTTCCTATTAGAATTTCCTTTTCCAGTGTATAAAATCTAGCAACATTTTTATTTGTTTATTTAGTTTTCAGTACTCATTTCGTCACAATTTAATTGGGAATTTATTAATCCATTTTCTTAAAAATAAAGCAAACCGATAAAATCGTAATATATTCAGGATTCATTATGTTATACTCGTACATACAGGAGTAAATCAGACGAAATGGGTAAAAGGGAGGCTCCTCGGCGGAAGAGCAGCTGAATGTTTTTCAGTCAATAGCAAGAAAATTTTCTTTTAAAAATTACTATGATGCGTTGAAGATGATATGGATGACATATGTGTTTATGTGAAGAGACTGAGAAATTGGAATACGTACCATTTTATTCGTCTCAGTTATTCATAATGCAGACAATGCAAGTGGTATTTCCATTCATCTAACGTTTGTGTCAACAGAAACTGCTAAAATCATGCACTACGTATTTGTATCGAATAATATTTTATCCAGTTATGGCCCTTCAGCCTTAGCAATCTCGACTATCAAAGTCGGCAATAATAGTGTGTGTACAATATTTTACGACCATCAAATCCAAACTGATCGTATAATAGCAAACAAACCGAATATTTTTTGCCGGAATTCGGAGAAAAAAATAATCTTCTTGGACTAGCATACTATGTTGCTATGTCTCTACGTCATGCGATAAAAATGTCATAATCAAGGAAGCAGTAAAACATCTTAAATGCAAGAATTTTGAAATCGAGATCAATCGTATGTAAAGCGTAAAAACGTAGGTCGTACCGATAGTTAACAAAGCGTTGGAATTTGTTCCGCAAAATCTATGTATGAACTTGTCTACACTCCCAGGTCATTCCAAAGTCTGGGATGTATAGCGTTATTGGAAACAGCCTTCATTTTGCGCAAAGTATTGTAGAGATATTACTCGCGCAACTTTTCTTGAACGATGGATTGAAGAAATGCGGATAGAGTGGGGGTATTAGTAAGGGTAGAGTGGGGGTAGTAATCAGCCACTAGATTTTATGAAGCAATGCCAATCTCTTGAGAATCAGTCATGCCTTAGCGACTTTCTCAATAATTTGCGTTCTCACTTTCTCAGGAGTTCAAGGTATCTCCTGTGATAGATCTTCACATGCTTCGGTCATTTCTTTGCATTTTTTGGAGAAAATCACGGACAGAAGTTATTGTCTTCAACAGAAAATAGTTTCTATTTCACGCAAGTGAAGTTGCGTTTGGAATGTCAACAGTGTTCACTACGAGCTTTTGCCTTCAACTGTTTATTGTGCCAGAGAGAGGGAAGCAAGGTCATCGTTCAAGAAAAGTTGCGCGAGAAATACTCACAGTGTCTACACCTGCTCCTTAGGAAACTGATTGCAATCCGGAGTAGATTCAATGTTTAAGAGATACCTGTCATCTAGTCGTAAATTTAGGAGATAAAAGTATTAATAAAAATGTTGCCTTTGTTGTCGCAGGCGGGGATCCGGGCCTCAACAACCAGAAGACGCCGACGACGCTGCTTCTGACTCCGGACGAGAAGTTCCACTCGTTTGGATTCGCCGCACGCGACTTCTTCCA